CCTTAGGTGGAAGGGTGGACTTCGGTTTTACTTCCTGCTTTAAAGCACTCACACTTTGCCAGGTACATCCACATGCTAATTTGACAAAGTACAAACTCTTACACCTGGCTTTAAGCTATATTTTATTTATATGGATTACAAACTAGCTAATAGCGGTTTTCTGTTTAGAAAGTAGTGTCTGTTTCTGGGGACATTCTTTTTACATGAAGCTTTTGCATCAGTTAACTTGTGCCCTTATAGAGTTGAGTGTGGGCCTTGGTCCCTTGATTATATGACCAGTTATATAGGGAAACAGGGACAAGAGTCTGTGTGATGCAGGCTGGAAGTTAGTGTGCGGTAATGGAAGGAGAAAGGGCAAGTCTGTTTCTACCTCTGAGAAATGGAGAGGGTGCCTCTCAGATCGCTGCTATGAGCGTCGCATAAGATGACATATGATGATAAGTGACTGGCATGTTAAAGGCGTCTAAGAGATGACAGCTGCTTTCTCAGCACACCGAGGTGTGGCCACAGAGGGTAGTTTCTTATGTGATGAGTGGAGCGATCTTGCAGGGCTCCTGTGACTTTAAACCTGAGAGTCCTGATATGGGAACAGGTCCTCCTAAGCTCTAACCCACAGAATATTTACTGATTGGGGAAAATTAAGGCCCTCACTGTAATTGGGGAAATCCATGGTCAGTATTTTTTAACACATAATTGTTATACTCACCAGCTCTGAAAGAAATGAGAACACTGTGACATTTGCTGAAAACAGACAAGATTAATCTGTGAAACCATTTTTTAGAATAACACAGAAACTGGTTCTATTTGTATTTCACAAAGAGTCGCTTCTATAATATGTGGAAAATACTTCAGGGGTCTAACTGTGCGTTTGGGTCTTTTTTAATAATTAATGATAAGGGACATAGAATAGTGGATATTACAAATCTAGGGGGATATTTAAAAAACTGTTTTGCTCATTTCCTCACCGGTTCCCCTCCTCCACTAGGCTCTTTGAAAAGCTTCTTCATCTCAGGTATACTGCTTGGTCCTGGACATGCATGTTACATGTGACATGTTCCTGCCCAGCTGAGGGGCAGGACACCCAGGCCAGCAAAAGGACTGGTGGCTTCCACAGGCAGAGCCCTTGCTCCTGTTCGTGCAGACTCGCCCACCTTTATCCTTCATTGTACCCAAGTCACAGCCTGCCTGTGCCATACTAGACAGCAAGGGAAACTGTTGGCATTGGAGCAGGACTTGAAGAAGCTCAGACTGTGGAAGCATAAAAGGCAGGGGAGACATTGCCAGGTTATGCATTCCCTTAGCCCACCACATTTCCTATTCCAGCCAGAGAGCACCATTAGCATGTTCCCCACATGCTGCCTTTTGAGAGCACAAGTTTAGGGGCTGTGAAGGCTCAGTGGAGATTTTTAAGCCAAGGTATATAAAAAGAGAATCTTCAAATCAGAAGTACAAAGTGGGGATTGATTATCATTTTTTAAAAGTTTCAGCTTTTTACCACCTGTCTTAGAAGTGTTGGGATGATTTCCGGGACTTAAGTTTAAAATAAATTTGTATTCCAGTTAATAATCACTCCAGTTTTTTTTTTTATTTCCTAATGAAAAGTGTGATTAATACCAGCAATTGGTTCCCATTTTATTGATTTTAGCATCTGTATAAACAAATTCTTAAAACTGACTCAGTAATCCAGCTCTCTAAGTGGTATTACTGGATCTGCTCTTGGCTGTATGCTTTCGTTCAGGTGATGGAAAATATCCTTTCCATGTGGCTAGACTCTAGTTCATTGCTATCACTTCTGCATCCTGACTGGACAGTTGGGGTAATAGGTGTCTATGAACCAAACTCATCCCTGCTGCCTGCTTATCTTGCCTCACTGTCCCTTCTCTCTCTCCTGATCATAGAGCAATGGCCAACCCAAATGTCTTTTCACAGAGGAGTACGTTGTAGGCCTTCAAGAGATCTTGGGAGTTACCTAACTTAACCTACTGATTTGACTGGATTAGATAACTGTAAGATGATTAATGCATTAACTACACGTCTCTTGATAGTATTTTGTATGGAACTGAAAGTTTTCAAGGTATTTGTAAATTTATTTTACTTGTTTTTAGAATACTGTTAGCAAATTGGAACATTCTCACAGTTTACAAAGCAGTGAAAGTCATATTGGTATTACAGATTTTTTTGAGGTTGTGTTATGTGTTGAATGGAAACTGGGAAGATGCAAGTTGACTCTGTTTCAAAATGCTAAGTAACTGGTGATTTTCTCAGTGCCTGTTCACTTTGAAGTTGAGAGTAGATATGAAAAGTATTCCTTTTCTTGGAAAGGTGTACATTTTTCATATTCATGGCCAAGAATATAGACACAGGGATTATAATCTCAGTAGTAAAACTGTTTATGATTTATAAAATCATAAATTATGAGCTTGTAAAATATGAGTCCTGGGCATCGCTCCTACTGGAATCAGATTTACTAGTACATCCTATTCCTCCTTTGTTTCTATGGTTTTTAAAACATACATTGCAGCAGTGTGGGAGGGCGGCTGCCCCTGGCATTAAAGGGCTCTCCCCAGCAAGTCATTGTTCTGCCTACACTTTCCTCGGGATAAATAGGATTTGGGTGCTGGCACCTCTCTTGCTTGTCTCCATGCCCTGCTAAGCCTGGTGTGCAGTGGCGCATGGTTGTTACAGTCCTTGCCACTGGAGGAGTTATTATGAGCATGGTTATTTCCTGGGATTAGATAGTCCGTCTGAATTCAACAGGTGACTCAAAAATTGTTTTATATTTCCTAATAATGAAAAGTGTGATTAATACCAGCAATTGGTTCCCATGATTTAACTGAAAAGCAGGACTAATAGGTGAGCAAGGTAGGGAGCCATAGACTATCACTTGAATTTGAGTTCCTGAGACACAGATACACTCCAGAAGAGTTGACAAACTCCTTTTAATGCCATGAAACTAGATGAGACCTATTTTACATAAACAGGCCACCTTCACAGACTGTGTGTGGCTGTGTGCCCTTACAGGGAAGGCAAGACCTTTCTTGTCCATCAAACTGGGATTGCCTCGCACCAAGAGAGCCCTGAGATTTTCCATTCTGACGCGCAGCATTTCAGCTCTCTTTCCACATTTGAAGAACAGAAAGACTAAGTGACCTTGTTTTCGTCTCCTGGGACAGCTATTTTTAAATTTTTCTCAAAATTACTTGGTGGGATTCCAGCCAAAATTAAATGCAGATAGGTAACATTTAAACTTCTTTCCAAAGCCCAGTTGGTTATTCCACACGTTCTGCATTTTACATTTTGAAATTTTAAACTTTGACCACAGACTTTGTTTTTTTTAGGCCTGGGTAAAATAAGGTTTGTGTTGATTAGATGAGGTGTGATGTTGTTGGTAAGGTACCTTTGGTGAGAGATCTCTAGGGCATTGGCCACTCAAAATCCAGTTGTCCATTTATATGATATTGATTCTGCCAGAATTTCAAATGTGATGCTACTTTGATTCCACTGAGCCCACATTTAAGTTCTGCTCTATCAAGAAAATGCATGGTCCATTTATACATGCTGGTTTGTAATAAAGTTGGAGTTTCTTCCCGCCAAGTTCGGACTAACTTATACAGTCCTAATTTGGAAACAGTCATTCAGAAAACTCTTTTCCCACCCTCTCAACATGAGAGGGTCGATTAACCAGTCTCCTCCTATGTGAATAAGTGAATATGAAGGAAGAAGCCGGGTAATTATGAAAACTTAAATTTAGCATTATTGTTAAATGGCTTGATTATTTTAAAAGTCTCTGTGGGCAAAGTTATTCTAAAAATTGACTTTCCTTAAAGCATAGTCCTGCCCTGGCCGGTGTGGGTCAGTTGGTTGAGTGTCATCTCTTTCTGATTGGATTCCTGGTTAGGGCACATGCCCATATTGCAGGCTTGATCCCCGGTGCGGGGCATGTTGGAGTCAGCCAGTTGATGTTCTGCTCTTACATCTTTACATCAATGTTCCTCTCCCTTGCTCTCTCTCTCTAAAAATCAGTAAAAATATTTTAAAAGGCATAGTCCTTATATTCTTCATCATAAAGGGACTCCCTTTCCACACCTATGTTTTCATCACATTACTGCCAACCAGGTGCAACCCATATAGTGACACCAGCATTTCCTTTTTTTTATCCCAACCTACTAAGGCATGAATTTTCTCTCTCTTCTCCAGCCTTACAGTGGAACGTATTTATTTGAAGTTAAAATGTAAACCTTACATAATCTCAACTGTTGTGAGTACTTACTCATATTTAGAAACAAGACTAACACAGACCTGAGTATCTGGTTCATGTCAGAGTAGTGATGGAGGCATCTTCCTTCTCCTCATCCTCAGCCGAGGGGAGAAGGGCTGCCATGCTAACCTGTTCTCTCTGGGAGGAAGGTGAACGCATGCATTTCCAGCCCTGGTGCCTGTTCTCCTGGAACAGGTGCCAGGGGCCCACACTTTGTCTTTGGAGGAGAAAGAAGGTGTTCCCAGCACGCCAGGTTCCAGGTTGGCACTTGGCTCCTGTGATAGGAAGGGTTAACATATGAATGTGGCATCTAAGTTTCCACATCAGTGCAAAGACCTGAGTAATCCATAACAGACCTGGAATCTGACAAGCTCACAAAGCTCGAGGACTTCGGTGTCCCTCTTTTTCATGGCAGACTGGGGTCGCCATGTATAACATTGTTGCTAAGGTGCTGTTTATTCCGAATTTCATTTAGGTGACTTTCCAGCTAACTTTCTGAAGGTATCTTCAATCTATTCAACCTGTCACCCCCTATAGTATTCAACCAAAGTGTCTGCCACTTTGTTCTATGCTTTGCAGTTCATCTCTATCCGGGTGGGATACAAGGGGGATCGAGGAATACCTGGTACTTGGCCTGGTCTCTAACTGCTGAGGGCTAATGGCTCCAGCTGGAGTCCTCCTGGATGCCCTGACAAGTACACAGCTGGTGTTTAACCAGTTTTAATCTTTTCCCACACCTTAGGATGATTCCAGTCCCGCCACTCCAGATGGGAATGAAAACTCTACTACGACAACCAGCACCTTCACCATCCAGGAGTACTTTGCCAAGCGGATGGCAGAGCTAAAGAACAAGCCACAGGTTGTTGCTGCAGGGCCTGACCTTCCAGAGACCCAAATGGAAAGGAAAAAGGGAAAGAAAAGAAAGAAAGAGGCAAAAAATAAAAATGTGGAGAATTACACCCAACCCAAGACCAAGAAAAAGAGAGACCAAGCTGAGCAGCAGCTCGGAGACCCTCAGGGGGACGAGAATTCTGATGCTTCTGCTGAGGATGGAGAAGACTGTATGTGGCCATTTGATGACCAGGACTTACCACCAAAGCCCAAAAAAAAGAGAGAAAAGAAAAAGCTACAAAAGCAGGTTGAGGCAGAAATGGATGCTACTGTAGATGAAACACCAGTGAAAAAGAAGAAGAAAAAGAAGAAAGATTCCAAGTAAATTCTTTTGAGCCAGGGCCTTCTAACCACTCAGGTGTCAGGGCACTGCCAGGCTGCCTTGGCCTGGAGTCAGAGCAGAGTTCACCCAAGAGAGTGTGTGCACATCTTTTAACATGCCCGCGGATTGCTGGGTCTCGCCCTCTCACCACATTTTCCCCAAACCATTTTCCAAGGACTTTTTAATGTTTCAAATCATGACTCTCATGAACAAATAAATTTCTTTGTAGACTCTGAGCCCTTCACTGTGAGTGTTCATTCATATTCGTATGAACACGTCAAGTTGTGTATGTGCACACATGTGTGTAGGTATGTCAGTCTATATTTGCTCTTGATTTCCTTCAGTAACAATGAATTGTGCTTCCTTCTGAAGGACTTAGTCTAATTAAAGGATTAAGAGGCAATAGTTTAGATTCAGATCATTCTTTTTGTTCTATAGCCAACCATACATTTTTGCCAAGTAGGTATTATATTATTACTCTTCCAAATCAGACTTGTTTTTGTTTGGTTTGATTTGATGTAGTTTTGATGGGGAAACTGTTTTAATGCCCTGTCTTCACTAAGCAGTGGCAGCCTGGTGTTCTGAGGTCTCCTTCCCAAGACTGCAGTCTAAGTGAGCTGACTAGGAACCGTGGAACCTTCCCTGAGACAGAGTAGGCAGGCCGTGTGGTGATGCTCGGGGACAAATCCCCTATTGTGGGCTCCACCTTATTTATAACGATCAGGAGCTCCTCAGAAGCTTAAAAGATTGGGAGTCTAAGATCAGGAAATTAATTTTATCTGTAAACCACTCTATAGATTGAAACTACCTTGTGAATGTTCTTAAAAGTATTAATAGCACATAAATGTAAAAGATACTTCTCAGTTCAGTCCTGCTCAGACCCAGTGGTGTCGCCGAGTTGTGTTTATACTGCCTTCTGCCACACCCTGGCGTCTCCCTGTGTGTGTTTACCCAGATAACTTCACGCCCTCCTTGGGACACAGAATTAGGAAGAAAATGCACGCTTATAAATTAGAGGTCCAGCCCTATTGTTTTCTCTGCCTGTTTCTCCTCTCTTCCTTTCTTTGTTCTCTTTATCTCTTCCTTCTTTTCTTCTCCATCCTTTTATTCGTTGATTCCCTCATCCTCATTCCCCCTTTATTTTCAATTCCAGTTTTCTTCTAACCCCTTTCTAGTTGCCAGCTGCCCGTCCTGCTCTTGCAATCTTGGTGCCTGGCCTGCTTCTGACAGACCTGTCAGAGTGGCTGTGGGGGTGTGGCAGGGCGTGCAGGCTCAGTGCTCTTTTCCACTTGATTGATAGATTGCTACTGGATAATACATGCAAGCTGATGACCTTTTGCCCTGATTTTGACTCTGGAGGAGAGGGGGTGGGCCTTCATACATTAGATATGAAGCATGGCCCTGAGAGTCTTCAAATTGAGAAAGTACAGTAAGAATGTTCGGTTTTGGTCTCTTAAGAATTCTGAATTGTTTAAAAAAGCACACACACTACCCACAAAGAAAATTCAGAGCCTGAGGTCTAGTTTCTGAGTTTTATCATGGCCCCCCAGAGTTCAGAGTCCCAGGCTATGGTCCAATCTATTAAAGCACCAAAGATTTTTAAAGTCACTTTTCTTCACAGAGGGCACATGCCCAAATTATCTCTGCTTGTCCTATCTTGTAAATGAACTGAGTTCCAGAAGGGAGTGGGAATGTATGAAACCTAAAGGGAATACTCTTTACAAATATTTTTTT